CCATTCTACTCATGCTTGTATACCTCTAGCCTTAATCATACTATTGGAAACATAAAGCATGCTTCATATTACATTCCTCCAAAATAGAAAGGTTCAAAGCCATATAAAGTTACTATGGCTTACTACCTCTTCAAGTAAGAGCCAACTCCTTTCGTTTGCCCTTGGATGTTGAAGGCCCTAGGGTTTGTTTAAACATTGGGGTAAGATTCTTGGGGAATCTTAGTAGCAATTGCATACATTATCAAGGTCACACAATACATTGTAAATCAAGCTACATGCATGCATACTTTAACTTTATGTTCATGCTATGGCAAGGACATATCATCATAAACATTCATGGCACTCAACATAGCATAAGCCAAGGCATAATTTGCATGGAGGCAACATCATATAACATAACATTCTCATCCACCTCATAGCATAACAGATTAGCAAAACACATAGCCATAATCATACAAAGTAAGGTAACACTCTAATATAATGAATTGTAAAAGCTACCTTGAATGCTTTCCTTCCTTTTGAACTCTTTCTTCTTGACTAGATCTTTGCCCCTTTGTTATGTATAGCCTATTAGGCAATCAATGACACAACATTAAGTATCATTGCAACTTCACAACTTAACATAACCCTTTAAACTCCTTTTTCTTGATTTTTAGGGTTTATTTTTCTAGCTTTGATTCTTGAACTTTCTTGGGCCTTTCCTACATAATTTTTCATGTATAATCCATTTATCATATTAGTTTTATGAAAATCTAATCCCTTCCCATTGACTTAGGAAAATGACTTTCTACCATAATTTTTCATGTATAATCCATTTTTCATGTATATATTTGTAGGGAAAAGGATTTCCAACCAAACTAACATGTAACCACTTAATCTTTAACCTTGCTTAATCTTCATCTAAACCATTCCCTATCATTTTGATAAAATTTGGGCAGCACTTCCCCTTAGGAAAATGACTTTCTACCATCATTAAAATAGCCTAAAACTAACATACCATCATTATAACTTGAAATGGAAGAGTTTTAGAAGCTTACCTTGCTTCTAGATGACTTTCTCTCACTAGAATTCTCCTCTTTCTCTCTCTACACGAAAAATTGCAAGAGGTTTCCTACTTGAAAGGTCTTGCATGAAATGAACATGTGAGGGGGTATTTATAGGCTTCATATTTCACTAATTCCACATATGCCCTTCTTGCATAAGACTTAATCTTAGCCCTCCAATTTTTACCTCTTTCCACATGTACAAATCTTAGGCTAGGTAGCTTAATATGTTGACACTTGGATGATGAGTCATTAGGGCTTATGTCATCTCTTCTTATCCATCAAGATTAATTAGGCTCTAATCAAGGTTTACTCTCTTAATCCCTTGATTAACTTGGCTAATCAACCTTCTAGAAACTTTTGACTTTTCAAAAGTAGATGGTTGAATCCTAGCCATCCAATGAACCATGTTTGCCATATGTCACAATCCTACGGAAGATGACTTAACCCTAATCATCTTACTTAAACCTAATTAGGTTTTAACCTATCCTGATTTATTATTTTCTTTTTCTTTTCTTTTTTCTTTTCTTGGCCAATTTAGGCGTGACATGTGTCCTTGTCCATCTGTAAGAAATTTTATCACCCCTGTTGTCCAGACAGTCCACTGAGTCTTAATATAGTACTGGTTTATTTTATCTGATAGCTGAAAAATTCTAGTTTCTCAAAATTCTTATATCAACTCACCATTAATTATGTCTCAGTAAAGGGAACTTCTCTGATTAATTTCATAATTTTTCTCCCTCTATAACTCCTTAAATTGTCGTTCCTGTAAAAACAGACAATCTACCGATATTAATTTAGCTTTAAATTCAATTCAAGCTAACCTCCTCATCATTTAGGGTTGGAAATAATTTTATAAATTTCCATAATTCCTAAATAAATTTCCTTTAAATTTTCATAATTTTTTGAGATCTCTAAATATTTTTAATAATTAATATTGGCTAATTTTCCTTAATTTAGCCAGAATATTAATAATTAAAATAATTTTTAATAAATTATTTTCAACCTGTATTTACTTTCTAGACCTCAAATACCATTCTACGGCATTAATTCTATTTTCCATGATTTACTGGAAATTTTTAGGATTTCCAGACACTAATTACGATAATACCCTTTGTAGACCAATCATTTTAAAAATGACAATTTGGTCCTTTTTCAGTTCTCACTTCAATTGTTATGCTGTTTATCTATCTTTTATCTCACTTGGCCTTGGTCAGCCCTAAATCTTTCATTAATCATACTAAAGATATCAGGGTATGACATATTTTCCTATTTCTAGGTTAGAAATTTTGGGATGTTATAACATACATCAAAATGATTTTTGAACCATAAAGTTCCCTCCTTTGCTGACTATTTTTGAACTTGGTTCTCTTTAACTCTAAAAATCACTCCTTGACTCAACTCTACATGGTTTTTCATGTAGATTTCAAATATATGCTTAGATCTAGGAAAATAAAATGGCCTCCTTCAGTTTCCCTTTGACCGAACCACAAGGAATCATGAACCAAAAATCACAACTTTGCTTTAAAGCTTCCAACACTTGTTCCTTTTAGTCTACCCTACACCATTCCTCATTTTAAGCATCATGGAAGCCTTAAAACAATGAAAACCTCATCCTAGGGTTCACTTCCTCACTTGGCCGAAATGGAAGCTCAAGAAAACAACCATGAAAAATGCTTTAAAATAACTTAAACTCACTTGCAAACACTAGGATCTAGCTTGTGTTGTTGTGTCTTAGCAAGTGTGATGATCAAAACTTCTTTCCCCTTTTTATTAATCAGTTAGGTCCATATTAAGAGAGGGAGGAGACAGATTTTTAACCATAAAAGAGAAAGAAACCAAAGCAAGAACACTTCTAGGACCAAGATCTAACCTTGAAACCTTGCTTGGATGATCAAAGGTGCTTGCTTCTTCTTGTTTTTCTCTCAAACTCTCTCTTTTTCTCTTATTTTCTCCATTGGATGAAATGAGCATCTGAAAATGGGGAGAGAAGAGCTTGATTAATGCTTCAAAATATCCCAACTACTTTCTTTAATGATAGTCCAAGTGTCATTACCCTACTAAGTCTTGATTCCTCTTTCCTAATTAACATAATTCCAAATGAAATTAATTACTAAAGTCAAGATCCTCTCCATTTATGGAATGACACTTGGCTAATTCAAATCTTCTCCTTCAAGAGCTTGACACATGGCTCAATAGGATCCCTTGGATTTGCAAGACACCAATCTTGCTTTATCAGTATACTTTAGGCTGTTGAGTTTAATTTCTTTTCTATAATTACAGTAGCTTAGCCTCTGTAATTATTTTTTGTCAGATCCTTAATTTATTCTCCTCATTATTAGCTTCCCAAATTGCCCTCTTTGTCTCAAAATTAATTTCCTAATATTTAAATAAAAAGGAAAATTTCCTTCTCTTTAGGGATTTTTCCACTCTTTATCATTATTTGGAAAAATCTTGGATACTTGAGGGTCTTCATTTAATTCCATAATTCCTTGAGATCTCATAGGAATTTCCTTGGAATTTTATTCCCCTTAAAAATATTTATTTGGAATTTTCCAAATAAAATCCCTTAATTAGCCTAAATCACCCTTTAATTCTCTCATAATTTCTCTAAGGGTAATTTGGTCATAAAACCAACTTTATAATTTCATATAACTCTCAAAAGATATTATCCTCATTTTTCCTTAATTTGCCAAGGCTCGGAAATATTTTTCCTTATTTACATTTGACCAATTTTCCTTAATTAGTCAATTTCCTATAATTGGCTTGGAAAATTACTGTAATTATTTTCCACCAAAATCCTTTGACTTTTCCTTATCATTTTTAATCCTCAATAATTTGAGAATATTTCTTATCTCTAATTATCATAATGCTGGATGTGACAGCTAGGGATCACGACAGAACAGTTGCTGTACCTCCCTGAAACCAGAGACCTAGTCAACCCTGTAACCGGCTTGTACCAAGAGCCATTAGATTTAGATCTTTATGTTCAATCTCTTAAGCAGCCTGTTACTCCTGCTATGTATCCATGTAATGTCCCTGGACCCAGTACTGTACCAGTTGTACCCCCAGCCTCGGCAATACCTGTAGCACCTACAGTACCATTTGTACCTGCCCCAGCTCAGCCTAGTCATGAGATCCATAGTGTAAGACAACTGAGTGACTGGCTGAGGTTCATAGGGCGTCACATCAGGAGGGATGTGGATGCAAACCTAAGAGTACACCTAGACTATCTCCAGGGTGTGAGGGAGCTGTATCAGGCACACGGACCAAGCAACCCTTACTTAGAACCATTTGACTGGTTATGTGAGATGGTAGATGTCCTACCTAACACTCTATTCTGGACCCATGAGATCGTCCGCCTGAACTACTTGCTGGGAGATGATGTAAAGGACTGGATCTAAAGCCTCGAGAGCTTTGTTATTGTTCACTTTCTGTAGACACTAGGACTGTCCTATCATTAACGTAGGATATATTTTGGTACAGCTAACCCGAGTAGGTTAGGCTGATAATGCTTGGTCGATGGTTGTGTTGATTGCACTTTGACTGGTTAATGCTTAGCTGCTATTTGCTGTATGCTCTTTTTGTGAATGAAATCCAAGCATGATATTTATTTCTTATTCCTTGTTGTACTATCCGGTTAGTTAAGCAATGGTTAGAACTCGACAAAACCTTTCACCAGAGAGACCCCCAGTGCAAGATGTAAGGTTTCCGCCTGATCCATTACAATTGATTCTGGAACGCCTCGAGCAACAGCAGAAAACCATCAAGGACATGAGAGTAGCTCAAGCTCATCAGGAACAAGAAAGGGATGCAGCGATAGCTGCAGCAGTGGCAGCAGCATTAGCGAACCTCGACAGAAGGCAACCAGAAGAAGAGGTCTCTGTAGTACCAGCATCAGAATAGTTGCCAAGGCCGACATTACTAGTAGTAGAACCCGACAGCATTCAACAGTGGATGACCCGATTCTGTAAGCACAACCCGCCGTCATTTGATGGGACATTTGACGTTCAAGTGGCGGAAGAGTGGATTAATCGCCTAGAGAAGATCTTCAAGGTACTGGACTGCTCATCAGAGCAAAAAGCCCATATGGCAATATATAAACTAGAGAAAGATACTGATCGCTGGTGGAAGAACACTGAAATTCTTCTCGATGCTCGAAACATGATGGTGACTTGGGAAGTGTTTCTGGAGTAGTTTTATGAGAAGTACTTTCCGAGATCTATCCAAGATGAGAGAGAAGTGGAATTTCTGACTCTGAAGCAAAGGGATGATAAGCCTTTTGATGAATACTTGTCTAAGTTCATCCGTCTCTCTCATTATTCAAGCTATCTCCAATATAGAGACAATGAGAGGTGGACAACAGAGAAGATGGTTCAAGGACTGAGGCCATCATTGAGGGAGATGATTGCTCCCAGACAATTTGAGCAGTTCAATAAAGCAGTGGAAGCTTACCGAATCACGGAAAGCAGCTTCAACCATCATCTGATGGTCAAGACAACTCCCAGAGCAGAGAAGGGAGGTCAAGGAGGTCAAAGTGTTACCTCGTCCAACGTGAATAAGAAGAGGAAACAACCCTGGAATAACCGTAAGAACAAGAAGGGTGGTAAAGCACCCAAGGGCAAGGAGTGTCCTAAGTGTGGCAAGAATCACGGTGACAGAATGTGCATGGCTGGGCAGAATGTTTGCTACACCTGTGGCAAACCTGGACATTTCTCAAGGGAGTGCCCACAGAACACCGAGCAGGCAAGACCACATACCCAGGGCCGAGTGTTTGCCATCACAAGAGAAGAAGCCTGGCAGTCTCCGGAGATGATCCAAGGTACGATCATGATTAACAATTCTCTGGTGATTGCAATGTTTGATTCGGGTGCTAGTCATTCTTTTATTTCATATGCCTGTGCGGAAAGACTTGGCTTGAGTATAAATACATTACCATATGATATACATGTGTCTACCCCAACGCAGAGTAGGGTAATTACATCTGATGTGTGCCTGAACTGTATGGTTTGTTATGATCACTGTTGCACTGCTATAGATTTGATATGCATGCCTTTCCATGAGATGGATGTGGTGATTGGACTCAATTGGTTGTCATCCCAGAACAAAACCCTAATCTTACCCACGAGGGATTTAGAGTTAAATCTGGAAGTTAGATTAAACTTCATTACGGAAGCCTAAGCGGGCAAATGCTTACGAAAAAGCTGTCAAGGATTCCTCGTTTTCTTCTCAGTGCAAGTCGAAGTTGAGGAAGGGATAGGAGAAATCCCGGTGGTCAGGGAATTTCCAGAAGTGTTTCCGATAGAGATCGCGGGATTACCCCTAGACAGAGAAGTAGAATTCACAATTGACATAGTACTTGGAGCAGGACCAATCTCTAAGGCCCCTTATAGAATGGCTCCCAATAAAATGACAGAACTTAAAAAGCAGAAGAGGAGTTACTTGAAAAGGGTTTTATTAGGCCGAGTGTATCGTCATAGGGTGCTCCAGTGTTGTTTGCCAAGAAAAAGGATGGTAGTCTAAGGCTGTGCAGAGACTACAGGGAGTTGAACAAAGTCACAGTTAAGAACAAGTATCCGCTCCCTAGGATAGATGATCTGTTAAACCAGTTGGTTGAAGCCAGTATATTCTCTAAGATTGATCTAAGATCTGGCTGCCACCAACTCAAGATTAAGTCTGAAGATGTCCCTAAAACTGCGTTTAGAACTCGATATGGGCACTATGAATTCTTAGTGATGCCGTTTGGATTGACGAACGCACCTGCGATATTCATGGACTACATGAATAGGATTTTTCATCCTTACTTGGATCAATTTGTGGTCGTATTCATTGATGACATATTAGTGTACTCCAAGTCTCCAGAAGAGCATGAGGAGCATTTGAGGATTGTCCTAAATACCCTGAAAGAGAAACAGCTGGTGGCTAAACTTAGTAAGTGTGAGTTTTGGCTCCAGGAAGTCTTATTTCTCGGCCATGTGATTTCCCAAGGGGGAGTGGCTGTCGACCCCAGTAAGATTGAGGCAGTACTTATCTGGGAGAGACCCAAGACGGTGACTGAGATCAGAAGTTTCCTCGGACTAGCAGGGTATTACAGAAGATTCATCTAGGACTTTTCTCGAATTGCTCTCCCACTGACCAAGTTAACCAGGAAGAACTAGCCGTTCTTGTGATACAATAAGAGTGAGGCTAATTTTCAGGAGCTGAAGAGGAAGCTCACTTTTACTCCCGTACTTATACTTCTCGATCCTTCATAACTGTATGTGGTTTATACAGATGCTAGCAAGCAGGGACTGGGATGTGTACTTATGCAGCAAGGATGGGTAGTAGCTTACGCCTCACGCTAGTTGAAATCTCACGAGGCGAATTACCCGACCCACAACCTAGAATTGGCAGCGATAGTTTATGCACTGAAGATATGGAGACACTATCTATATAGAGCAACCGTAGAATTGTTTTGTGACCACAAAAGCCTCAAGTACCTCTATGACTAGAAAGAGTTGAATATGAGACAACGAAGGTGGATGGACTTACTCAAAGATTATGATTTTCAAATGAAGTACCATCCAGGCAAAGCAAATGTGGTTGCGGATGCCTTAAGCAGAAAGACAGTGCAGGTAGCATCACTGATGATCAGAGAGCAGAAGCTAGTAGAGGATTTCAGAGATTGGGGTCCTCTATATCAGATGCAGTTAGTAGAAGGAAATAGAGGTATAACCCAGTTTACAGCCCTGCTCAAGGATCAAATCAGAGAAGCACAATCACAAGACTGGCTAGCGAAAATTCTCAAAGAGAAGCTGACTAGAAGCGAGAATAAGAACTTTGAAATTTCTGAAGAGGGGATACTGAAGTTTAAAGGAAGAACCTATGTTCCCTAAGTGTCTGATCTCAGAAAAGAGATACTGGCAGAAGCCCATAAGAGCAAATATACTCTTCACCCAGGAATGACAAAGATGTATTATGATGTTAAAGAACTCTTCTGGTAGCCTGGAATAAAGAAGGATATCACAGAATATGTGACAAAGTGTCTTACCTACCAGAAGGTGAAGGTAGAACACCAGAAGCCTGCAGGAGAGTTATAACCCCTGGATATCCCTGAGTGGAAATGGGACAATATATCCATGGACTTTATAGTGGGGTTACCGATGCCAGCGGCTAAACATGATACAATATGGGTAATAATAGACCGTCTGACTAAGTCCACACATTTTCTCAGTATGAATGTAAAGGATTCTCCAAAGAAGTTAGCGAGACTTTACATCAAGGAGATTGTTAGGCTCATGGTGTTCCAAGCAGTATTGTTTCGGACCCAGACCCAAGATTTACTTCGAAGTTTTGGAGGTCCTTACAGAAAGAGATGGACACCACTCTCAGATTCAGCACAGCCTACCACCCCCAGACAGGTGGGCAGACGGAAAGAACAATTCAGACATTAGAGGATATGTTACGTGCTTGCGTATTGGATTTTGGCAGTAATTAGGATACGTCTTTACCGTTAATTGAATTTGCCTACAATAACAGTTTCCATTCAAGTATTCGAATGGCACCTTACGAGGTACTGTATGGGAGAAAGTGCAGATCTCCCTTACGTTGGACAGAGCTTAGTGAGAGAAGTTCTCTTGGTCCTAACATGGTGGATCAGACTTCCCGACAGATAAAGGCTATTCAGCAAAGGCTTCTAACGGCTCAAAGTAGACAGAAGAGTTATGCAGATACGAGAAGGAGATCGCTAGAATTTGATGTTGGTGATCACGTTTTCCTCAAAGTGTCGCCAACAACGGGAGTCGGTCGATCTCTAAAGACTAAGAAGCTCATTCTAAAGTATGTTGGACCATTTCAGATCCTATTTAAAGCTGGACCAGTGGCCTACAAGTTGGCTCTTCCCCCAAAATTAAGTCAGATTCATGATGTTTTCCATGTCTCCCAACTGAAGAAGTACCATCCAGATCCCACGCATGTCATAAGCTATGATGACATTGCGCTTTGGGATAATCTATCTTTTGAGGTTAGACCAGAACGAATCATTGATCAGAAGGCCAAGCAGTTGAGGAACAAGGAGATTCCCCTGGTCAAAGTGGTCTGGAAAGGTCTTTCCTCTGAAGAAGCCACATAGGAGATGGAAACTGAGATGAAGGAAAAGTACCCTAAGCCTTTCCATTAAGGTATGCTTTAAATTTCGAGGACGAAATTTATTTGGGGGGGAGAAATGTCACATCCAGCATTATGGTAATTAGAGATAAGAAATATTCTCAAATTATTGAGGATTAAAAATGATAAGGAAAAGTCAAAGGATTTTGGTGGAAAATAATTACAGTAATTTTCCAAGCCAATTACAGGAAATTGACTAATTAAGGAAAAGGGAAAATCCCATATAAATACCTATTGAAATCTAAAATTCCAAATAAGTCACTCTAACTTCACAAAAGACAAACAAGCCTATCGGTATTAAATTGGAATTTGCAAATTTTGACAAATTACCTCCATGCCCTTTTTCTCATTTCCTTATCCTCTCTCTCTTCGTCGTCTTTTTTACGGCAGAGACACAGCTTGTATGGGAAATTAATGCCGTGGCTACATCATTCTTTCACTGGGTTTTGTTAGACATTAGAGACACAGTTGAAATATTTTAGGATAGAGAAGAGAGATCGCCATTGATTTTGGGAGCACACCATTATACAACGGATCCTCTTCTTCTTCAAATAGCGGCCATTGTGAAACTTTGTTGCTTATATTTATGAATCAAAAGAAGCCATGGGAACCAAAATATAACAACTATGAGTCATCTTCTTGAGAGAAAGAGAGAAGACACGGCTAGATCTTCTTTTTCCTCAGTCATAGTAGCACTAAATATAGTTACTGTCATAGAACATTCTGGTTTTTGGTAAATATCATTAGTGCAGTTGTCAAACCCATTATAAATGTTGTCAATCACATTATTTTATAATAGATTGACTTTTGTAGTCTGAATGACAAGAAAATATTATAGATATTAGTTTAATCTTAATGCTACCTTGTCATTTGAATATATTTAATGTAACTTCTGTCAGAGGCTTGTTGTTTTTCGTAAATATTGTCATTTTAGTAGTCAATTCCATTACACATGTAGTAAATTATGAAAGTTATTGATATTATGTTTATTATGATGTTTTTCTAGTGTACTTGTATACTACCTTGTCAATACATTTTGACCCTCGTTTAATTCCCCAAAAGGCTAGACTTAAAACAGGTTAAAAATTGCTATGCATGTAGTAATTTTCATTATGCAAGTTATCATTCCCATTACATGTTTAATAAAGTTTCTGCAAATGAACTAAAATTGGATTGCAAATAATCAAGTTACAAGTCGCTTGATGGAAATGATAACTTGCATTATGCAAGTTGTCATTTTCGTTACTTGTTTTGTAAAATAATATGTAAATGACTTAAAACAGGTTGCACAAAAGCATTATGAGACTTTTAACTTGATTATTTGCAATCCAATTTTAGTTCATTTGCAAACAACTTTATTAAATATGTAATGGGAATGATAACTTGCATAATGAAAATTACTACATGCATAGCAATTTTTGCAACCTGTTTTAAGCCTAGCCTTTGGGGGAATTAAACGAGGGTCAAAATGTATTGACAATGTATTATACAAGTACACTAGAAAAACATCATAATAAACATAATATCAATAACTTTCATAATTTATTACATGTGTAATGGAATTGACCACTAAAATGACAATATTTACGAAAAAACAACAAGCCTCTGACAGAAGTTACATTAAATATATTCAAATGACAAGGTAGCATTAAGATTAAACTAATATCTATAATATTTTCTTGTCATTCAGACTATAAAAGTCAATCTATTATAAAATAATGTGATTGACAACATTTATAATGGGTTTGACAACTGCACTAATGATATTTACCAAAAACCAGAATGTTCTATGACAGTAACTATATTTAGTGCTACCATGACTGAGGAAAAAGAAGATCTAGCCATGTCTTCTCTCTCTCTCTCAAGAAGATGACTCATAGTTGTTATATTTTGGTTCCCATGGTTTCTTTTGATTCATAAATATAAACAACAAAGTTTCGCAATGGCCGCTATTTAAAGAAGAAGAGGATCCGTTGTATAATGGTGTGCTCCCAAAATCAATGGCAATCTCTCTTCTCTATTCTAAAATATTTCAACTGCGTCTCCAATGTCTAACAAAACCCAGTGAAAGAATGATGCAGCCACGGCATTAATTTCCCATACAAGCTGTGTCTCTGCCGTAAAAAAGACGACGAAGAGAGAGAAGATAAGGAAATGAGAAAAAGGGCATGGAGGTAATTTGTCAAAATTTGCAAATTCCGATTTAATACCTGTAGGCTTGTTTGTCTTTTGTGAAGTTAGAGTGACTTATTTGGGATTTTAGAATTCAATAGGTATTTATATGGGATTTTCCCTAAGGAAAATTGGTCAAATGTAAGTAAGGAAAAATATTTTCGAGCCTTGGAAAATTAAGAAAAAATAGGGATAATATCCTTTGAGGGTTATATGAAATTATAAAGTTGGTTTTATGACCAAATTACCCTTAGAGAAATTATGAGAGAATTAAAGGGTGATTTGGGCTAATTAAGGGATTTTATTTGGAAAATTCCAAATAAATAAATTAAGAGGAATAAAATTCCAAGAAAATTCCTACGAGATCTTAAGGAATTTAAAGAATTATGGAATTAAATGAAGACCCTCAAGTGTCCAAGATTTTTCCAAATAAATGTGAAAAGTGGAAAAATCCCTAAAGGGAAGGAAATTAATTTTCCTTTATATTTAATTATTAGGAACTTAATTTTGAGACAAAGAGGGCAATTTGGGAAGATAATAATGAGAAGAATAAATTAAGGATCTGATAAAAAATAATTACAGAGGCTAAGCCGCTGTAATTATAAAAAAGAAGAAGTTAAACTCAGAGCCTAAAGTATACTGATAAAGCAAGATTGGTGTCTTGCAAACCCAAGGGATCCTATTAAGCCATGTGTCAAGCTCTTGAAGGAGAAGATTTGAATTAGCCAAGTGTCATTCCATTAATGGAGAGGATTTTGACTTTAGTAATTAATTTCATTTGGAATTTTGTTAATTATGAAAGAGGAATCAAGATTTAGTAGGGTAATGACACTTGGACTGTCATTAAAGAAGGTGGTTGGGATATTTTGAAGCATTAATCAAGCTCTTCTCTCCCCCATTTTCAATGTTCAATTTGGCCAAGGAGAAAAAAGGAGAGAAAAGAGAGAGCTTGAGAGAAAACAAGAAGAAAGGGAGCACCTTTAGTCATTCAAGCAATTTTTCAAGGT